ATAACCCTAAATATCTTTTGAAATATTTTGCGGACGACTTTGAAACTTGGTACGTCTTATTTTGACGCTATAGGCATTACAATAAAATAAAGTTGTCTTCTAGCTTGCATGTGTCCTTTAAGAGTTCTTTGCCTGGAAACATTTGATGTTAAAAAAAGATTCAAGTTCATTGGTTAAGTTAGAATTTATGTTAGGGAAGCACTTTCTCCTATGTTTACAATCACTGCATGTTAAACAATGTAGGTGAAATGTTAAAAGTGCAAGCTTTAGTTTTATTGAGAAGAAGCAAACAGATAAACTCTTGTGCTAAGCAAAAAAATGTGTAATAACTGTGGTAACAAACCTGGAACTAGTACATATAAATGTTATAACATGAAGTTTCTTGAAAACAAAATGGCGAATTTAGATTTCTACAGAGTGAAAATTCAGGATTTTCGATTGCAAAATGCAATAAAACTGTGGCTTTGTGCCAGTGACAACAAGTGGATTTGGATTCAGCATATAAAAATGTACAGAATTATGTGAAAAGAAATTAGTGCCCAAGTGAGGGCAACAAAATTCTGTTATTTTTTGATGTACAGAATACAGACTATAATTCTTACAGAAGAACTACAAACAACACCAAGACAACAACAACACACTGTAATAATATTAACACCAACCACATTCATAATACACCAAAACCCATGGCAACACATTTAATACCATCCAATTATATTAATCCACCCATTAATCCAATTAGACGCTCTGAACGTCTACAAGCTAAAAACAACTGTAACTATATAACTTCCTCATTCTGAGTCGAAAGCTCAATAAAATAATTTTACAATCCTGAGAAACTTTCTGTTTTATAAATCAGATGCCTGGACTACCAATTTTCAACTTTAACGAAAGATATATTTTAGAAATACATGAAATATTTACATCATTTATTGTTGTCATTTCTGTTAATTTATTGTTAAAGCACAAGCAAAACGACATATATTTAATAGTTTTAGTTACATAAAGAGCGTTGATCTAAGCCATGCGGTGTCGAGCAGAACACAAGTCAAAGTGTGAAATCACAGGCGAGAATACCTCCTGGAAATCAACTCCCGCAGCTTGCGAGTATCCTTGGGCTACCAGACGCGCTTTGAATTTCTCAATCGATCCATCAGCATTCCGCTTGACCTTGAAAACCCATTTACTTCCAACTACATTCTTTCCACTGGGTAAAGCTACCAGCTCCCACGTTTTATTCTCCATCAGTGAAATATACTCAGCATCAGTGGCTTCAATCCATTCCTTTTTCTGATCACATGACCATGCTTCATTAATGTTCCTGGGTTCGTTAATATCTGCAGTGAGATCATCTGCAACATATACCTCTTCATCGGGGTATCTAACAGGGGTCTTCGTTCTCTTCGCGAATTCAGATTCTTAACTTGTTGCATAAAAGTTTCTTCATAAGTTTCTCCCACTGGATTATTAGGTTCAGGATTAAAAATATTATCTTCTCTTGCAGCACGATCATCATTTTCTTCGTTATCATCAGCTGTTTGCATAAAAGGTGTCTGCATCTCAAATGTATTAGTAGTGTTTGAATTTTTATTGTCAAAGTTGTAAAACTTCCATTCATCAAAAATTACATCTCGGCTCTTGATGAATGACTTTGTTTCTGGATTGTACAATTTGAATCCTTTTGTACCTTCAGGGTAACCCACAAGTATGCATTTTGAGGATTTAGCGTCTAATTTCTTCCGTTTGCTTTTTGGAATATGGGCATAAGCTAAGCAACCGAATACCTTCATGCTTGACACATCTGGCTTATATCCAAAGAAACATTCAAATGGTGTTACCTCTTTCACAGCAGTAGTAGGACTTCGGTTTCTTATATAGGTTGCTGTACTCACAGCCTCAGCCCAGAATTCAGTGGGAATGTCTGCATGAGCCATCATCGATCGAGCAGTTTCTAATAGTGTCCTGTTCATCCGTTCAGCCACTCCGTTTTGTGCTGGATTGTGGGGGACAGTGGTTTGATGTGTTATGCCTTTTTCTTTCAAGTATGAATTGAATTCTTCAGAGCAGTATTCACCTCCATTATCAGTGCGCAAGATATTCACCTTCTTTCCAGAATTCTCAGCATAGTTTACAAATTCCTTGAACTTTTCCAGGACTTGGTTTTTCTGTTTGATGAAATATATTTTGGTATATCGTGAAAGGTCATCAATAAATGTGACAAAATATAAAGATTTTCCAAGAGATGGTATCTCCATTGGACCACACACATCACTGTGAACAATTTCGAATGACTTCTCTGCTCGGTGAGGGTCGTTCTTTGGATAGGGAGTCCTATGTTGTTTCCCCATAATACATGATTCACACACAGACTTGATTTCATCTTCTCGAAAATTATTCATTCCTTTAACCATATTACCTTTAGCAAGTTTCGAAATGTTATCATATCCCAAATGCCCAAACCGACAATGCCATAATTCTCCCTGAGACATTTTCTTCGCAACATTGACTTGCTCATCACCGATAGTTTTTAACACAAATAATTTTCCACATATCTCACCTTTTGCCAATAACTTTCCATTTCTTGAGATTAAGCATTCATCTCTTTGAAACTTTATTGAGGCGCCCAATCTTGTCATTGCTCTTACAGATAACAAGTTCTTACCTAATTCTGGAAGATACAGTACTTCACGAAGACTAATATTTTGGGTACGACCATTGATATCTGCCAAAATATTGTATGATCCTTTTCCATACGCTGATATGGTTCAATCATCACCTAGGTTTACAATGCATGGTTTCTTGAAATCCACATAATCATATAGACAGTTCTTTTGGTATGTCATGTGCTTAGTAGCCCCAGAGTCTACAATCCAGTGGACATTATCTCCACAGTTGGATATAATTAAAGCTTCTTGATCAAGATCAGCTTCATCTTTCTCTGCACAATGGACGGATCCCTTATTTTGATCACCATGTTGTTGCTTATTCCCTCTTTTATAACGTTCTGGACAGTCTCTAGCAAAGTGTCCCTTTTTCTTGCAATTGTGACAAACTCCTTGAAATTGTTTCCTATAATCCCTTCGTTCTTTCCCTTTTCCATGAGTTGACTTGTCATTGTTAAATCTATCTCTTTGAACGGAATAGGCATCCTCATACTTCATTTCATCACCCATTCTGTCCACATCATTCAACAACATGCCTTTGACTTTTTCAAACATTAAGCTATCTTCCCAACAGCATCTAATGCGGTAATCAGAGGTTTGTACTCATCCGGCAAACTCGCTATAAGTGTCATTGCCAGTTCTTTGTCATCTTGCTGAATTCCCATTTCTCTCAGCTGGTCGTATAGAGACTTCATGTTATTAATATGATCCAACATATTATTCCCGTTCTTGAATCGACATGAATAGTACTGCTGGCGTAATCGCACTATTTGCAATATGGAGACTCTAGCGAATTGGTTTTTCAGCGCATCCCAGGCTTCCCTTGCAGTATGCGTTTCTCTTATATGAATTTGTTGTTCAGGTTCCACCGACAAGCAGATATACGTCCACGCTTTCTTCGACGCTATCTTAAACCCTTGTCTTACTTGTGCCGTCGCATCCTCAGTCGGCGTTTCAGCCGATCCGTCGACATGACCAAACAAATCCATGCTCTCAAGATAAAGATGCATATTGAACGAAGTTGAATGGAGCTGTTTGCTCCATTCAACTTCGGGATTTTCATCGAAAAATTCGAAAAATCCGTTGACGTCGCCATACTTAAATTCATATAAGTATTATCAATGTTTCGTTAAACTCACACAGTTGTGCTTCAGGCATATCTTCGAGTGTCCTGGGCCCATGACCTGTTAATTTATTGTTAAAGCACAAGCAAAACGACATACATTTAATAGTTTTAGTTACATTAAGAGCGTTGATCTAAGCCATGCGGTGTCGAGCAGAACACAAGTCAAAGTGTGAAATTGTAAAATTAGCATACAATAAATAGTGCTTACTAGATCATGTGACTAGCACTATGATCAGATGTATAATACTTTGTTTAATACATATGTAATGTATCGTCATTCCTAACAATTTCATTGGGAAAAATGTCTTTTCAAATTCTTACATTATGTTTACTTTTTTATTATTGTGGAAAACAATGTAATCATGATCATTCTCATTCGTGTCATCTATTAAACAGTCCTTATCATTTTTTGGCAACCCCTTATTAAGCAATAATGTTTTTATGTTTCTATTAACCCCTACATTGTTCAAAACAATGATGTACTGACTGTTTGTTGTTGTTGTTGTTTTAATTTTGTGTTTCCATAATTCAAATTTTGACAAGTAAATATAATAGAAGAATTGTTATGATGACAGTCTTGGGTAGATATTGCATCCAATTGTTTTGTGTTGTCTTTATTATCGATTAAATTAGTCATCAAATGGTCCAGTATTATTACTGTTTGTTTCCCTAACTTTTGTTTTATGTCAGTTACAGAAGGAATCAGTGATTTACATTTAATAAATTCATGCTTTTGCAGTGCTGTATTTTTTTGTTCAACCAAAAAAAATTTTAAAGACACCCTAGTAAAAGTGTACAAGGAACATATTAGAAAGACTGAAGGGAATTAAAGCTGATCTTGTGGCGAGGTAATGAAGGTTGGCAAGATTTGAATCTAACACATCTTATTTCAGAACTGAAGAAGTGGAGAGACATCAATCCAGCCGAAGAGAGTGGAAGTTTTAAGAAATCTCCGAAACCTTTACTTGTAGCAGGCAGTGAGCGACGTAAGCGAAGGTGTGTTTATTGTAATGCTGAAAATCACAGTGCTGTTGATTGCACAGGTGGTTACCGACATCGATAAGCGGAAGAAATTATTAGCTGAGAAAAAACTTTGCTTCAATTGCATGGGGACAAAACATCGCGTAGCTGACTGTAAGAGTTCTCATAGGTGTTCAAAGTGCAATGGTAAACATCATTCGTCAATATGCACAAAGAAAGATCAGCTTTTAATGGCAGGTGATAGGCCAGCCGTATATCCAACCGTTGTGGTGAGTGTAGAAGGAATAAAGTGTCGTGCGCTTCTAGATACAAGCTCTGGTAATTCTTATGCATCGGCAGCCTTGTTAGACTTACTTCCAAAGCGATCTTATAGAAAGGAAACACGACGTGTCGAAATGATGCTCACCTCAGTTACCAAGGAAATGGAACTGTCAACCATATGTGTTAAAGATGTCAAAGGGGAATTTCAAATGGACGTGAACGTAACCAAAGTAAATAAGTTACTGATAATAATAATAAACTACTGTTTGTGGACAACCCAAATTATAAGGCATTAGTAAGTTCTTATTCACATTTAGCGGGTGTGAAGATAGAAGACGATGATCAAAAACCAAGACTCCCTGTGCATTTAATCCTGGGAGCTACAGACTATGTGCGCATCAAGACGTCTGAGAAACCCCGCGTTGGAAAGGTGGGAGAACCTGTTGCTGAAAAAACCAAGTTTGGCTGGACTATATTGGCACAAGGCAAAGAACTGGACTACGCTGTTATGTTTCTTTCACAAACAAGCCAAAGCGACTATGAAGAATTGTGTCGGTTAGATATCCTGGGTTTCGCTGACAAACCTGAAAATGATCAACATGAAGTTTATGCTGAGTTTCAAGAACAGCTTGTGCGAAGTGAAGAAGGGTGGTATGAAACCGGCCTTCCATGGAAGGGTAATCACCCACAACTACAAAGTAATTATATGGGAAGTTTGCGAAGACTAGCAAACCTTCAACGCAGATTGCATCAGAAGGGGTTGACTAATTCTTATTCTGAAATCATTGAGCAGCAGAAAGTCGAAGGGATCGTTGAAGCTGCTAAACATGAAGCCCGAGGTGTTGAATTCTATATTCCGCATAAACCAGTGGTCAGAGAAAGAGCAGAAACCACAAAGGTTCGAATCGTGTATGATGCCTCTGCCAAAGCCAATAATGAAGCTCCAAGTCTGGACCAGTGTTTAAACCCAGGCCCTCCACTACAGAACAATCTTTGGAACATTTTAGTAAGAATGAGATTTCATCCTGTTGCACTGTCAGGAGATATTAAACAAGCGTTCCTGCAAGTTCGAATCAAGGAAGGTGACAGGGATACACTACAATTCCACTGGAGCCCAGATGCAACTCATGAAATTGAAACACTGAGGTTTACAAGAGCGTTGTTCGGGTTAACGTCATCGCCGTTTCTCCTTGGTGGAGTGATTGACCAACATCTCACCTGTTGGAAAAACCGCAGACCAGAAGTGGTAACTGAATTGCACAAAAGCCTATATGTAGATGATCTAGTAAGTGGAACGACAACGGTAGCAAAAGCGCGCGAGTTGAAGAAAGAAGCAATAGAAACCTTTAAAGTGTTTATATTACGAATTTTAGCCCCCCTTTTTTATTAGCTAAATTGAAAGACCTTATTTCAGTGATTTTAAATCTGCAATTATAATTGAAATTGGATTGGTGAAAGTGATTTTACGGACGTTCAAAGTCACGATTTTCAGCATTTTTTTGCGAACTTTTTGATCGGTATGCTAATGACTTGTGACGTAGAAAGTTGAACACATATATCAACATGGCGTATTCTACTAGTAATCTTAATAAGAAACGCGGAGGAAAATGCTGTGTTGCTGGCGGACCTAATCAAATTAGTTGCGCCAATGATTCAAAAACCAAAGGAATGTCGATGCATCTGTTTCCTAAAAAAGAAACAGAGCCGCAAAGACATAGAAAATGGGTAAATTTTGTGTGTAAACATAGACCGGGTTTTGAGGCTTCCTCTACCTCGTGTCTGTGTTCTGCACATTTTGAAGATTCTTGTTTTGACCTTAATTTGAGCGTGTAAGTCAAGCTCAAAAGAAGGTTGAAGAAAGATGCTATCCCAACCATTGACGTGGCTGGGATTCCTGAACCATTACAGGACGAAATAACCGATCGAAAGCGAAGACAAGTAAGTTTATGCTTGTTTATGTTAATTTTTCTTTAGTCATATGTAAATTCGATATAAGTTTTGTAGATTATTCGACATACTCTCCATAAGCCATCGCTGAAGGAAGCATGTTCTCTCAATGAGGAGGTACCATCTACTAGTGATGAAGCTGAGCATGTTGAAGTATGCACTGGGGAAGCAAACGATTCGCTATTTGAACGGCTTTCTATTTTCCATTTTTACATTTATGCTATGATTTAATTCCATATATATTTTCTTTTGTCTTTTTTCCCAGACTGACATTGAAGAAAAGATTTTCTTTCATTTAATTCTTTCAGCTTAACCTCTCAGTAGTTGCACCAATTTGTTTTTATTGTTTACTCTTGTTTCAAACCATTAAACTGCATGTCAACTTATATAGTGCATCCATGTATCTCCTATTTGGTTTTCATCTAGGCATATTTCCTGACCATTCCAAACTCAGCAAAGAAGGTCAACAGTCTCTACAGTGCACAAGTTAAAAGACTATTCCATCATCGCCCCTCTGATGGTATGTAACCTTTTGTGTTACCACTTGGATATGCTTTCCGAATAAAGTGGTAAACACAAGCAGGTAAAGGCCGAGTATTCTCCCATCCCATAGACCCACAAAACCATCGCATCAACCATCTGTATGCCACAGCTCTCAAGTACCTGAAGTAAATAAAAAGGTTGGACTAATTATTGTTGATGAAACAATGTTGATGATAACATTGTTTCTCATACAATTTACAATCTTACATATTTGACGATTGTGATGCTTGGCAGCCATAAGCACGTCCATTCCTATCTCTCAATAGTGGCCCGACGTTTTCAAGGACAGCCTCATGAACTAAAGGCCCAAATTTGGCATGCTGTGTTATGCATGATATTTTCTCAATGCTGCCATCGAATGTCATTTTCTGCAAAGCTGGTCCTATTTCCTTACAGCATCTGCACTCTAATGCGTCTTCTAACAAATCGGTATGACAGCATTGACAATTACACCTGAAAGTGGGAGCATTGTGGTTTATAAAGTAACTTTATGTATATTACAAACAGGAGAAAACAACAACTTACCATTCACTGAGCGGAATTACGCCATCACTTCGTTGTTCTAAGGTCGCAGGGAGAATTCCATCGGGATCATCTGGAGTATGCACTTCATCACCATCTCCTGCGAGTGGTTCATCGTCATATGCGAAGTCGTTTAAATGCTCGACATAACCCACGGATTCCGAGCTCGAATCAGATACGCATTCAGACATCGAATTCGAATTATCTGTGCAATGATTTGAGGCCATACTTTCCAGAAAACTTGTTTTTTAATATTTTATTGAAAATACTGTCATTATTTGTTTTTAAGACAAGAAAAACGACAACAAAATCACCTCCTATAATATATTATATTGACGGAAACAGACGTGTTCAACTATCTACGTCACAAGTATCAATATGGCGTCGTAAAAAATTCGCAAATAGTACCCGACTTTGGAGGCAAAATTAAGGAACTTATATTTATCTGTTTAAGTCCAGCGACATGTCATAGTTCTTCAAATAATCCAAATTTTCAATTAAGCTCATAAAAAAGGGGGGCTAAAATTCGTAATATAAGCACTTTAACGATGCGACGTTTACTCTGCACAAATGGCACTCGAATAAGGAGTTGGAAGACATGAATTGCATAACCGATGTAGAAACCTTTACAAAGCAACAACTAGGAACACCTAGTGAGGAAGATGCAAGTATTCTGGGATTAGGTTGGTCAAAGAATAAGGACGAGATAAAGGTCATAGTTCCTTCAACTGTAGCTACTATAACAAAACGAGGAATTTTAAGCAATCTCAGATCTACGATCCACTAGGGTTACTGTCGCCAAGAACGTTGCAGGGAAAATTAATATATCGTGAAGTGTGTGAGATGAAATTACCATGGGATGCACCATTATCCAACAAACAAAAGGCTAAATGGATGAACTGGGAAAAACAATTGCCAAACAATATTGCAGTACCTCATTCAATCCCCACCTTCCAAGAAGAGATCGACTCAATATCGCTGCATGCGTTTGGAGACGCGAGCGGGAAAGGAGTGGCAGCAGTTGTTTATGCTGTTGTCAAGCAATCCTCTGGTTCAACACAATGCATCATAACAGCAAAGGCCAGATTAGCCAAACAAGGAATAACAATCCCCAGGTTGGAGTTGGTCTCAGCACACATGGCTTGTAACATTGTGGACAATGTGCGGAAGGTCCTAAGTGAATTCCCAGTGGAAGGAACGTATGCCTGGCTTGACAGAACTGTGGCACTACACTGGATCAAAGGAGGAGGAGAATACAAACAGTTTGTGGCCAACAGAGTGCAAAAGATCCAGTCCAAACAGGGTATCGAATGGCGATATGTACCAACTGATCGAAATCCTGCTGATGTGGGAAGTCCAGTTGGCACGGTGAAAGAAAACAAGTTGTGGCTGAATGGACCACATTGGCTCCAAAACATTAATGAGTAGCCACAAGACATTGTAACTCAATCGACCAAAGAGAGTGAGAAGGAAGCAAAGGTCATAAAAACAGTACTGTGCGTACAAATGAACAACTCGGATTGTTTACATTTTCCAGAAGTTTTCGTCTCTGAGGAAAGTTATGAGAGTGTGTGCTTGGATAAAGAGGTTTATCACAAATGCCAGACGTGTGAGCAGCCGAGTAGTTGGACCATTAACAACTGATGAGATTGAACGACAGTATAAATTCTGGGAGAAAAGAGTGCAGCAAAGTTGTGATTGTTTAGACGACAAAGGTCGACTTAATCTTCAAGAGGATCACGATGGCATCATGGAGTGCGGAGGGCGGATTCATGGGCATTATCCCGTATACCTATCAGACAAACACCTATTCACAACCAAGCTTGTGGAAGACGCCCATCTTCAAACTCTCCACGGGAAAGTTGGGATGACCATGGCTCGAGTTCGGGAGCGGAATTGTGTACCTCGACTAAGGCAATTAACACATAGAATAATCAAAGCGTGCTATGGCTGTCGTCGTTTCCAAGTGAAAGCAGTGCAGCAACCACCGCCTGGATTGTTACCCAAAGATCGAACTGAAGGAAGTCGCCCGTTCGAAGCTGTTGGTGTTGATTTCGCCGGACCACTTAAATACAAAAGGAAGAAAAAGGAACAGGGAAAAGCTTATGTCTTACTTTATGCCTGCAGCCTAACGCGACCTTTGTATCTCGAGTTGATGCTGAGTTTGGATACCCAACGCTTTATGGAAAGTTTCAAACAGTTAATAGCTAGGAAGGGAAGACCGAGCAAGGTATACTCTGATAATGCGAAGACTTTTGTTGCAGCAGCAAAGTGGTTATGTGAGGCTCAGAGGGATGAACGGTTTAACGAGTTTCTCAGCAAGAATCAGGTGAAATGGCAGTTCAATCTAAGTCGTGCCCCGTGGTGGGGCAGTCAATTCGAGGGCCTAATCGGATTGGTCAAACGGGCTCTTCATAAGACAATCGGAAATGGATTGCTGAATTGGGATGTTCTTTTGGATGTTGAAGTGGCTTTGAACGATAGACCATTAAGTTACATGGAGGATGATATTCAACTTCCAATATTGACCCCTAACTCCATGCTCTTCGTTGGTTGTACATTCGCACCAGAGCTGGAAGCACATCACATAGAATGAAGGAAACGGGCTAAGTATTTGTTGAAATGCAAGCAAGCTATCTGGCAGAGATGGTCTAATGAGTATCTAAGAGGATTGTATGAGCGTCACAACCAACAACACAAGCAAACAACATTTACTGTGAAAAAGGGCGATGTTGTTATCATACGATTAGACAAAAGAAGTCGTGGTAAATGGCCTCTTGGAATCGTGGAGAAGTTGTATAATGGGCGAGATGGTGTTGTTTGTGCCGTAAAACTTCGTGCGGGGAAAATGTATTTGGAGAGAGCAGTGAACCACCTTTACCCCCTAGAGCTATCATGCGATCGTGTTGAACCGACCTCCGTGCCATTGGATCCCAGAACACCAGCGTTTAAACCTAAACAAGACACCGCAGTAGCAGCCGAACAATGTATCAAGGAAGTAACAGAGTTAGAAGTTTGAAAGAGATTGGAAGAAGGACAGAAACTTTTGGAAATGAACAAACACTTTATTGAACTTTATAAATTTTTGTTTTGTTTACAGAAAGCAGTCTCTTAAAGGTTACATATACCTTATAAATTAAGGTATATGGGGGAGAGTGTCAGAGACTCGCCTTCTTTTAGATGAGTAGTTGTGACAAACACTTGAGCGCACCAATAGTAAGCAAGGAAAATGGTGTGATATGCAAATTGCAATAGAAGGAGAACATGTGTATTATTATCTTGTTGTTTTTGTGACTGTGAAATAAAATATATCTTCATCAAAACCTGGTGTTGAAAAATTGTGAAGTGTTGGGAGAAACTTGGGAGGCGATCCCCAACAGCCATTGCCATGTGCTTGGGAATGAGTGCAAAAAAAACCTTAAAGAAGGAGAATAGAATTTGGTACAAGAACAGAACAAGAATTTGAATGGTACATTAGCGATATAAAGATATTTTAAGAGTGACATCCTTCTCTTGCAAAACTTACATAAGACAAGCTTTGAATGGTTGGGGTATCAATATCCAATAGCGGAGAGTCAGGGAAGTATTAGAAACTATTCACCCTATATACCGTGCCATAAGACGGAGATACGCAATACAAAGGCGTGTGTACGATGTCAGGAAACCTAATTGTTTCTGGCCCATTGAATCCAATCACACAGTGGCGAATTAAACCTTTCTCAGGCCCTGGCTATATTCTCTGTTTGGGCCCCTCTAGACTGTCCACTTCGTCCCATTCCCCTGAAAATGATTATTTTTTCCACACTGAAGAAAGGAGAGACTTCGTGAATAAAACAAACTGCTATTAAACTTGCCATTTAAATAAGTTTCTTTCATGCTTGCTTTGCATCAAAATCATCAATTAAGCTCTTCAAAATTAAGAGCATTTAGAATTTCATGCTTGATGCTCATAAGCGATAGTTTGCTGACTCGGTCCTGGCCCGTTGTGCTCCTTTACTCGTTTTTTTATGCGTTTTAATTTAAAGAAAGATCTTTCTCCCCTGCAATTTGCAACTATCACACAGATGTTTATCCGAAGTGTGATATTTACATTCGAAAATGTTTGTACTCAGTCATTGTCATTTAATAATAAAAACATTACAAAGTTCATTTGGGCTTTCTTGTTTGGTAATTGAGCAAGTGGAGTCTGCGTTCAAATCTTTTCAAACAGCCTTGTACATGCCAATAAACTGTATCAATTTAGAATCCAAGCAATCCTCAAGATCATTAGGGTATACTTTTACAAGATTGCTGCTGCAACTTTTATTTCTGCCATATGAAGATGTTCTAATTGTGAGAAAAGGCCAAACTGGGCAGACAATTTAATAATATGCATTGAAACATTTCCTCAATGCCACAAATAATTGGGCAATGACGGTAAAGAAAACTTCAACCTTAATTTTTCACGTGTGTTGAGCACTACATCTTCTGCATTACTTTCATCAAACTGACGTCTTCTCTTTCGCTGGCATTCTCCATCACATTTTTAGCTGTTTCCACCACACTTTTTCATCCCTTTTTTTATCAATCTCTGATCTTTGACTATCAACAAATTTGAGGAGTGACTCCAACAGATGCATGGCTGACTTTAGAGTTAAGCCCCGTTTACACGACAACTGTTTTGGGCACGGCACGACTAAATTTTGGCACGTGGGCCACAAATACTGCCACGGCACTCTTAAATTTTGACGTGTAAACGGCTACGTAGACGGCCCGCGTGCCAAAACATTTTGGCGGGCCGAGACCTTCTCCAGATGTAGTCTCGGCACGCCAAAAACATGGCACGCGGGCCCAAATTTTTTACGCACGCACATTATGAAGAAGGATGGCGGCTAAAACAAGAAGAAAGCAATGGTCGGACGAAGCAACACATTGTTTAATATCATTGTGGGCAGAGGAAACTATTCAAGTATCATTGGATGCATGCAAAAGTGCGCGGGCAACGTCTAACGTGTATAAAATATTGCTGGTGAGTCATTAAAGTAACTGTTCATTTATAATGTTTTTAATAAATATTAAAATATAAAGTGTGTGAATATGGAGACAAATACATAAATGCACAAACCATGCTGCAGTCTTAATAAAATATTAACATAGCATTTTCTGCCAGACGATTTGAAACTGGATATACATGCATTCAGCTTATTAATTGGATATCATGATTCAATTCATTCAGCTTTGTCATTAAATATATATATGCCAAAGGATGCAATGATCGAATGAATTTTCAATCTTGCAGAAGTTATAATTGCCTATCCACTGCCTTCACTTGAACTAAAGTTTGAACGCAGTTGTTATTATTTATATGCCAATAATATAAAGCAATATATTATTCTGTGTTGTTTTACAGTCTCAGTTGGAAGAAAATGGATATAAAGGGTTTACCTTAAAGGAATTGATAAATAAAATAAAGAAATTACGCCAGAGATACAGGAAAGAAAAAGAAAGGTCACGGCAAACAGGAATGGGTGTCTTAAAAAAGTGGAAGTTTTTTAACGAGATTGATGCTTTTCTAACTGTACGACACGACGTCAATCCGTTAAAAATCATCGACACTATGGCAGAAGGTGATGAACAAGGTGTGCATGAATTTGATGATGGAGAACAGGGAAGGTTAGAGAATAGCAGTTTCGACCAAGGTATAGATGAAGTCATCTTTTTCAAAATAAAAACATTTTTAATGTTACAGCTAAATATGATTTGTGAAATTTCTGCGTTTTGTGACCACCTTTCATTAACAACCTCTAATCAAATATTTTCACTTAAATGGAGTGACCACTTTTGTAAAAAATATCATATTTGCTCGTATGTTATGGCAATTTATGTGCTTGAATAATGAACACTATTATTCTTTTGTTTTCAAACTGAAACTTAAAGCCTAAACCTGTTCACACTTTTCTAATCATTGAAAACGCAATAGAGTATATAAAATTTGATAAGCAGGCAAATTCAAAACAATCAAAAGGCATGAATTTTTCACCATTCTTGTAATTGAAATAACAATATTTTATCTTATATCGTTGATTTAATGTGTTTTGCAAGACTGAATTGCTGTACATACAACATAGACTTGATAAAAAAACTTCAAGTTAATGACATCATTGCAAAACGTTTTACATTGACATGTATTTTGGGTGGCTAGAAAACTCAGATTTCAGTCTTACTTTACTTACTTATACGAAAATTGTTGTCAGACATATTTTATTGTATTTAAAGTTAATGATATGATCAATATGTATGGCAAAGGTGAATCTCATCTTCAAAAGTGTCCTACCTGTGATTACGAAGAAGAGTTAAAAAGTGGTGGGGTACATGTAACTGAAAATGGGGCGGTTATTGTGTACGCCAATGACGACCAATTTTCTTGCCCAAATTGCTCTTCAGAAAATGACAAGCAACAGCCAGAAAACATTTCTGGTATGTCTTACCGGTGTATTGCACCATTTTACCCCATATTCTGTTTTTTTTGCCAGGTTGAACTCTACACTATGGTACAATACTTGACTCATATGAGATATAGTTTGTGAAATAAACTTCTGACACCTAGCTTCCCCCAATAATGTTTGTAATAAATGATGTTTAACAAACGAAATTTCTGTTGCTAAAAAAGGCTTTAATGATAACGGTGGAAACGATAATGGTCCAGTTATGAATTTCCAAAAAGAAGTTAATCCAGTCACAAACATGAGAAGAAGTCAAGAAAAACCATTGACAGAAGAAACAAAGTCAAATCGTGAAACGGCCCCAAGTTTGCCCCGTAAAAAAAGAAAAAGCAATTTAGAGAAAACTTAGAGGTTATATTTGCAAAATTTCAACAGTCGTCAGCAGCTGAATTTGAAAGGTATTGAGCAAATCATGTACGAGTCTCAATATGAAACGCATATGTGCTGAGTAGGGATTTATTTACAGATTAATGCAAGGAATGAGGTACTGTATATTTCGAACGTGCATGAATATGTGTGTTGAACATGTTGGCACCTCTCTGTGACTTGAGTTGACAAATGTAAAATTGTTAGAAAATGGTCTTGCTAAATTTAATATTTTAGGGAAAAAACCGAAAAATTACAAAATGATGATCGCATATGAAATATTCTCGCGCATTTAAATATTACGACATTTTTGTTACTGTCATTGTAAATTGTCTTTAGGTATCAGAAGTTTGAACAGGATCGCATTGATAGAGAAAATGAATTTCGATTAAAACAAATTCAGCTTGAAAATGAGAGAAGAAGAGAGGAACGGGCACATGAGCTAAATATGATGCGTAGGATGTTATCATCACCAGCTCAACAGCCTTCTGCTCCGATAAATGGTTACCAACAACATAATTATCATATTGGGTACAGTGTTGATCAATTTGGTTCACAAGTATATCCACGTGACAGCAGCGTTCAAAGTGGTTCAAACACAGAAACAACCTTTTTGCAATTGTAATACTTTGTTATCATTTAAACTGCTGATATTTCTTCATTATATTCGTTTTCTTTACCTGCTTTTCACTGAACAGGTGGACATGTTTTAAATATTTCAGTAACTGCTTTTTAACAGGTTATGTCAGTCGTTTAACGGCACGATAACAAAATGCAGGGTCTTTACAACTTACAAGTGTCTTTCAAATTTAATTTTATTTGTTATTTCAATATTAACCTCATTCAAATGATTTTGGTAACAACATTTTGTGGAATTGTTGAATTCATGTAACGTTAAATTTCAAACGAATATTAAAGAACTGTTTAAGAAAAATAGTTTGATAAAGCAGCACGAATATCGTGAGCATCTTCTGGTTCTATTTCATCAATTGGCACCACAACAAAAGCATCATCAACAATTTCTACCGAATCCCAGTCGGGCATGAATTCGTTCTTCTGAAGTTCACATATGTTATGTAAAATGCATGATGCATGAATAATATCGACTGAAGCAGCTACTTCCATATCTAGCCTTTTACTAAATCTTGCATAGCGTCCTTTCCATCTCCCAAATGTGTTTTCCACGGTCATTCTTGCACGACTAAGATGGTAGTTAAACTTCTTCTGTTCCTCAGTAGCCCCATTTTTAGGATACCCCTTCATCAACCATGACAAGAGAGGGTAAGCTGGGTCACCTAGGAGAAACGGTGCTATTTCCACTCCGCTAATTTCCTTCACAATGTCGGGAGGGAAAAGACGTTTCTTATTTCCATTTGAGAAAAGTGTAGAGTTAGAAAGAATTCGCGCATTATGGACGCTACCAGGCCATCCTATAACCACATCCAGGAACATGTAATTACAGTCAGCGACCGCTTGCATCACGATACTGTGAAAACCTCTACGATTCACGTACTCTATGTTGCTATTAGCTGTTGCTAATATTGGTATGTGCGTGCCATCTATTGCACCAGCACACATAGGAAAACCCCACTGCTCTTTGTAACCTTGCAAAACTTGAAAGAGGTCGTCTCCCTTAGGAAAAGTGATTGCTTTGGGAAAGTGCTTTATTATTGCACAGCTTACTTCTTTAATGCACTGACACACTAATGAACGCGAGACGCCAAAAAGATTAGCAACAGTTCGATACTCTGCTGTCGTTTATTACACGATAAATAATACAACGTTATGGCCAGGCGTCGTTTTGCAGAAACTGGATTACGCATGGGAGTAATTTTACGATCTATTTCTTGACGAACCCTGTTTAATATAAATTCAAACGTGCTTTTTGTCACGCGAAAATTTGCGTACCACAGTTCATCGTTGTAGAGTTCATCGACCATATCAAACCAAACTAGTGAACGTGGATGCATCCACAACAACCTTTCTCGTGGTTTATGCAAATAGGCCAGTACTGCTTTGATTAAGGCAGATTGAGGCTTATTTCTCTTAAGACATGATACTCCTGAAAAACGCAGCTTCTAAACCTCGTTTGAACGGTTTGCTGTTGTTTTCGGAAGTGCATATACCAAGCTAAAGCTATCTTTACCTTATCATTATGTAAGTTCGCCATGTTTGAAGTTTCGAATAATCCGCCAAATTTAATTTTTTTTGTCATCCGCCGACACTTATTTTTAGGGGCTCATACTTTATGCAGGCCGTTTTTATAAATCAGGCGTGCCTATTAAAAAAATGGCCCTCTTAAAAAACTGACCTGTAAACAAAGCGGACCTAATAAAAGACAGTGGCCCGCGTGCCAAAATTTAGTCGTGCCGTGCCCAAAACAGTTGTCGTGTAAACGGGGCTTTAGAGTTAGACTACTCTTCTGCAAGGATAAATTTGTATTGTGAAACTGATGCAACGTATTGTCCCAAAGTTCCAGCAGAACTGCAGATTTTCCAGAAGTTTTAATTTCTTATGGAATACCTTTGCTTCGATATTTAGAGGAGCACATGTGTGCAAAATAGCTCGATGTGTGCAAAATAGCTCGATGTGTGTTACCAGATTCATCACTAAATGCAACCTCCTCAATTGAATCAACTGCGCTGATGTTGCTGCCAGTAACATACTGGGACTGGGGCCGGTTGTATAAAAGCGTAGAGAACTTAACTATAGTTAACGCTAACTACCGTAGTTAACTCCTTAACTGTAGTAACTTAACTGCTAGGCTTAACTGCGTTGCATAAAACGTAGTTTGTCGGATAGTTAAGTAACTGCGTAGTTAACTTGCGTGGAAATTTCGTGCAGTGTTGTTTACGTTAAATGACATAAAAATTTAATCAATCTATGCTTTGTAATGGCAGGAAAGTGAACTATAAAATTACATCAAAATGAAGAAAAATCTCTTGGCTTGTGTAAAAACCTTAAAATGGCAAACTATTGTCGTTTTTACGGATGTTGATGATGCGAAAATAAAATTTAATAAACAATTCACGGTGACATGGTAACCGAATTAAATTGTAGCATATGCTTTGGACTTTTCTCAAGAAAATCAACACTTATCTTCTGTGTATAACAATACGATGTTGATGAATGATATGCGTCTCGGCAAGGACTGATTTCTTTCATGTACCAATTGGGCAAACGAAACTATGAACTCTTCTCAAATTGATTCAGATTGTGTTCTATGTGCAGGGATTTAAATAATTGAATGGACTTGCTTCTACAGCATTTAAAACTGAGAGATTAAGGGTAACAAAGGAAAAGGTCGTTTCGTTTCTCTTTATAACAGCTGAGTAAAATGCTTGAAAAAAATGTGTTTGTAAAGACATAAGTCACACATATTTGTAAAAGATAACAGTGATGGACTTTTTTATTATTACAAAACATTTCTTTGAGTCATCATAGTTAGTAGGCATGTAATCCAGTAACTGTCTTTTCTCTGCTTGTGACATTTTATATTCACAGCCATACACAAAACCCTTTTTTGTTCTAAATTCTGCCTTGCAAAAAACTGAGTTATAAAAACTATTGGGTAAATTTGTTAATGAGCCTTAGCTATGAAACTTTTATTTATGCCTTTGTGATTTATTAGCCTATCTTTGTCTAAAGCTTGGGAGCTTTATTCATTTTTTTCTACTTTTTAAATCAAACAGTAGCTAGATCTTTACTGGCAGGCAAGATTGTATGTACATTGAAAATAAAAATTTTTACATAGGAAATACTTGATGAAATATCAATAAAACCCACTAATTGACTGTCATGTATATTTTCTTCTTGTGTAATAAACCATATGCAATGGATAATGTTCATATATCAAGCAACATGGACCTTCACCATGCATGCTGATGAAATGTTTTATGTATTTAAGAAACTAAAATCATTGTATCACATGCAGCTGATACACAAAAGATTAGTCATGAATAAAAACTGTTGTAAAGTTCATGTATCTATATGTATTATCATTGGTATACTTAGAACAACATTTATACTGTAGTACCTATTTGTTTTAACATAATCTAGCTTATTTTCCATAGAGCAACGAGTTTATATGATGCATATGATATTCAATCAAGCAAAATGCATAGGGAAAAACCCGCAATTTGAATATTTCATACATCAAAGGCCATAGGATTCATTGCTTGAATAACAATCTTTCTTTTTTTTTGTCATTGAACGAATCGTACATATTTGTAAGACAATATCAGCGAGTTATGTGCACTAATCTTAAAAAAGTGGCTCTATCTCAATTGAGAGTCTCGCTTATGAGTTGCAAACAGCTACCAGACGCAAGAAAGATAATATAAAATGCAATTGCTCTTGTGTAAAAAAGGATTTGTTTACGTGGATAAATTGTTGGCTGTTTTTCGTCAGAAAAACTTGGTATGTTTTACAGCACTGGCGAATGTAGTACATTGTCCATAAAGCTCTTATTCTAAAAGCCTTTGCCATGGAACATACATATGTGATTAAAAACTTGAGGTAAAACCTTGTTGATCAACGACATCTCGGCCATAATTGTCTTTGAGAAGGTAAGCCGCCATATTTAACTGTGTTTTGAAAAGTCAACTATGCTGCATAGCATAGTTAACTTTAACTACCTTTTAACTTACGGTGGCCTATAAGTGTCACGGCAACATTTGAATACAAAAATCTCACAGCAACATTTAAATACAAAAATCTCACGGCAACATTTGAAAACTCACGGCAACATTTGAAATCTCACGGCAACATTTGAAATCTCACGGCAACATTTGAATACAAAAATCTCACAGCAACATTTAAATACAAAAATCTCACGGCAACATTTGAAAACTCACGGCAACGTTTGAAAACTCACGGCAACATTTGAAATCTCACGGCAACATTTGAATACAAAAATCTCACGGCAACATTTGAAATTTTTACGGCGGAAGCAAAGTGAAGGAAGTTAAATCATTGACTTATAGTCTAAAAAATATAAAATGGCGGAAAACATTGAAGAATACGATGTCAATGACCATGAAAATCTTGGACAAAGCAGTGAGGAAGAGATCATACGTTATTATTTCCTAAAAGGATTTCAATACAAAGAAATTCTTAACTTCATAAGAAAATATCACGGTATGCAGATTAGCATGAGTACATTAAAGCGAAAAATAAAACATTTTGGTCTTCGACGAAAAAACAGCCATTATGATATGGACGTTGTACGTGATGCAATTCGTGCGGAATTAGACGGTCCAGGAGGTTGCCGAGGTTATCGTTTAATATGGCATGCCCTTCAGATAAAGGGAATAACTGTACCTAGAGACGTTGTGGCAGGATTGTTAAGAGAGCTTGATCCAGAAGGAGTGCAAGAAAGATCTAGACGCAGATTGAAGAGAAGGATTTACTGGAATCCTGGACCAAATTTTTCCTGGCATTGTGACGGATATGACAAGTTAAAACCATATGGCTTTCCAATCCATGGATGTATTGACGGATGGAGCCGTAAAGTCCTTTGGTTATATGTTACTAAGTCAAATAATCTACCAAGTAATATTGGAACGTATAATTTGGAGGCTGTGGAACAATTTAATGGTTGTCCTGTAGATTTTATTACAGACCTTGGTACGGAAAATGGCCTTGCCGCTGCCATTCACTCATTTTTTCGTAATGACCCAAGTAGTCATAAGTATGTGTCTTCACCCAGAAACCAAAGGATAGAAGGGTGGTGGTCATTCCTGAGAAAAGATCATGCAAATTGGTGGATCAATTTTTTTAAAGATCTGGCTGAAGAAGGAACTGTAGACCTCACCATTCCTATTCATGTGGAATGCCTTTGGTTTTCTTTTGCAGATTTGCTCCAAAAAAATTTAAATGAAGTAAAAGAGCTTTGGAATTCACATTACATCCGAAAATCAAGGTATGGCACTCCACAAGGAAGGCCAGATTCTCTGTACTATTTTCCCGAACTTCAGAATGGTGAATGTAATTTGCTTTTGCCTGTTTTTGAGTCTGAAAGACTATATCCTAGAGAGCATATCATATGTGAACATGATGCACCAAACAACTATCAGAGATATTTTTTGTATGTGATGGAAAATTGCTCATTACAGAAACCCCATCACTGGAGGCAAGCTCTAGAATTGTTTGTTACACTAATACGGCATGCAAACATTGTGAACTGAGAATAGCATAGATTTTTATTGATAACATAACAAATTCTGACTGATTTACTAAGCTTCTTGTTGTTAAAATGAAAACAAAACTTTAACTTAAGTGACAAAATTAGTTTCATTAGAGGGCTCTAATTTTAAGTTCTCCAGCTTATTAAAAGTTCACGTAAAACAGTTCATTAAAAAGTTTAACAAAATGTGAACATATTTCTTTCTCAATTTTAAAATGTCATCATATTTCCAAGCAACTGCTGTTGAATACCCCGGGACTAATGTGTCCTCTAGTGAAATAAAAAAATCTTGAAGGTTGTCCACTATAGTGTGTTCTAAGGCTCGCTTTGAAGATCCTTCCTCTGAAAACACAGGTTCAACCAAAGAAAAAAGATAATCTGCATCAGGAAC